AATATATATATATATATTTTAAAATAATATACTTTTCTTACAATGATTTAATATAAATTTTATAAATTCATATAAATTATTTAATTATTTTTTATTTTTAAATAAAGTGAAAAAACAATCTTTTAATTTAGTAATGATATAAGTAAGTATTAAGTTAATATAATAAAAAGATATTCACACTATAATTGAGTGGTTAAACTTTTGGTCATTAATTTAAAGTGTCTCATATTTAAATCTTATAATCATCGGAATTTTTAATTTGTGATATTGTTATATAAGTTAAATACAAAATGTGGTGAAATTAATTCAAAATACTAGCTTAGCTCAATGGTTGAGTGTGTTGCATATCATTCAAGAGTCCAAATTTCAATTCATGCGGGGGAAAGAATGATTTAGATACTAATTGATTGAATAAAATTAGTTAAAAATGTTGATGGAGAAAGAGAAAGGTGACGTGGAAATTAAAAAAAAATAATGACGGTGTACCAAATTGAAACTTAAACTAAACATTAGACATGATTTAGAGAGAAAAATTATGTACTAAAACGAAACAAAAGTGATATTTTAGATACTAAATGTGTAATTTATCCATTTAATATTTACTTAATAAAAAATAATTTAATTAATAATGTGTTTTGGTGTGTGACGTTCACCGTAGAATTTTTCCAGCATTGACATTATAAAACGTTAAAAATTATCTATTCCAAGAGAACAAATTCTCTTTGGAACCATTTGAAAATGGAAGTTATGAAATATAATCCCTTTTTCTCACCTAGAAAGAACCCTAATTAACCCAAATAAGGTGTGCCATATGTGCGGTTGTCTCCAACTAAGTTGAAAGAAAACTCCAATCCAAAAATTTAGTAACAATCCTGTGGATTAGATTTCCATTTTTATCTAATTAACTGTATCTAAAAAAACAAGAATCGCAATCAATACCTTTCAATGATATATGACTCATTATTGACTCTTAGTTGAAGAATTTATCGAATAATCTCACTAATATTGTTCTCTTTGAGTGAATTCAAGTTTGAGCAGCTGTGTTGCAGGATCTATGTACATTACCAATTAATTAAAAATCTGGATAAATATTACATTATAATCATTTAAATTATTAAAAAAACTCTTTAGTTGAATTCACAACCACTAAAACATCATGCATGCATGTTTTGTTACAAAATAACAATAATAATAACAAAGGGTAAAAAGAGTCGGTAATCTGCACGAAAGTGGGTGTTTAACTTTATCTACTGCTGTTATAATATTATAATGGTTGGTCAGCTAATGTTAATTGGTATCGCCTTGCTTACTTCATAGATTTACTCCATTGGCCATATTAGCTTAAGTTTGAGACTGATCTTTGCCTAAAACCAAAACTGTGGACAAGTCTTGGCGGGTGAACTGTGAGCCTTCACACTGTTTTTCTTCTGGTTTTTAGGCTAAGTACCTTCATCGTCTTCTTCTCTTCTTTGTTTCATATGTTGATAGATTTTTAAAGATTTGAGCTCTCTCTGGGTCTCATTCAGAAACAAAATCTCAGGTCAGCTTTTAGAGGCTTTAATGCGTTTATTTTACTTGCTGTGTTTATGTTTCAAAGTTCATTGAAAACAGCTGTTTTAATGAATGTTTTGCCATTGAATTAGTATTATTTTGTTAAATCAGGTTTTACTTGTGTTTCAATATGGGGAAGGAATTTCATGAACAAGCTGCTGATGATGTTGAATTCGAGAGTTATGATCATGACGGTACAGATTGCATGGGGGACATATTTGACTACCATCAATGGTATAATGTCAAAAAGATTTTCCGACACAGAAAGTACAACAGAGGAAGCCATGGCAGATGTAAGTAAAACCTCAGCTTGTCTCATCCTTTAATACTATGCATCGATATTTTTATTATTTGTCTCATCCTTTATATATATACACACGCACGCGCGCTTATATGCATTAATTTATCGATTGCAGGCTGTGTAAATCCACGAACTATTTCCATGGAGCGTGTCATTGAAACCCAAGGATTATTACGTGCTGAGGCTGATCACTTGCAAGTAAGTTGACATAACAGCTGTAGCTGTTCTATCGTGCAATGGAATTGTTTTCCTTAATTTGGATGCAACAGAATATCAATGGGGTTATATCTAATTTTACTTGGTTCCACAGAAAACAATAAAAACAGGCTCAACCACTGACAAAAGCTCAAATAAAGCTTCCACAAAGGCGTCGACTAATAAAGAGAAGCATAAGCAATGGATTCCGGGCTTTTCTGCAACACCAAAGCTACATCATTTTGAATATTCAGGTTTCGATTTCGGTTGGATTAATCCAATTATTCTCATCAGTAAGAGAGATCACGTCTCCTATTCAAGCTCGACTTCGTCTCGGGCTGACACTCTAGGGAGTAAAAAGCAGGATATTCATGACAGAATGAATTTTAGCCAGCATGCGAAGAAGCTCGGTAAGCAAGGCCTGGATGATTTGGAGTTATTCAAGGTAAACAAAGATCTATTAGTAGATATTTTTCAAGATCCGGGAGTTGGTGTTTCACATCATTTGGCCAGAAAACAAACTTCCGAGGCAGTAAAATTAATGAGATCCGGGTCATTTCCTGTACGCGGTTCGCCCTGTACTTGGTATCTTCAATTTAGTACCCTTGAGCATAAGCAGAAGGAAGTTTGGTCATTCAGACAAGGAGAAAAATCAGTTGCTGGTACTCAATCGTCCCAGGGATCTGATTCTCAAAGGTGGAATCGCTTAGTTATGAATAGACTCAGATTTTAAGCAGAAAATTAAGCAGACCCTCAAGCAAATTTCCATAAAAGATGTCAATAACAAATGTCGAAATGAAGATGGCACTGATAATGAAACCTGCAATGGTGGACTCAATAGGATGAGAAGAACAAAGTCGATAAACGAGTCACTAAATCGATATACGAAATTGTTTGAGCATGATGTAAGCAAAGAGGCTGATTTGTATCACTCCAAGAGCTTGAAATTAAGCAAAGAAGGTCAGGTTCCATCAAGGGAGCTTCATGGTCTGAAGATTTTCAGAAGTATTTCATCTCTATCTGATAATGATTCCTTCCGCTCCCTCCTACATGCGGTGTCTTGTGATGGTCCTTCTTTCGAGGTTCCGATTGGGAGTATCCTAAACTATGATGAAAACAAGGAAAACGATGAACATAATGAACCAAAAATAATCACTATTCATGAAGGTATAGATAAGTTTGAACTAGTAGAAGCTGTTATGGAAGCTGAATTGCAGGAGAAAATGAGAGAAGGAATCAGCCATGATTCGAGTTCAACTAATTTATTGATAGATATAAATGGTGAACACATTGCTAAACCGAGTGACTTAATGGAGAAAATGGGCCCTCGCCAAGAACAAGAGAGTGCTTTTGGAGACAATCCAAGCAAAGATCTCACTCGAAAAACTTCAGAAGGTAAAGTTTTCTACTTTTTCAATATGAATATATTACTTGTTCTGGTGTATCAAAGTTGTTTTAGCTAAAAAAATTTTACCAGGTCCAGCATTGAATCATCAAAACCTTCCTGAATGTGAAGTAGAGACATTTACTTTCTCAAAAGAAAAGGCCACCATGTTGTTTGAATATGATAAAGAGGATGATCCCAGTTACAATTATGTCATAAATATTCTGGAGCTATCAGGTTTCCTACAAAACAAATGCCTCCATTCATGGTACTCACCAGACCAACCATTGAACCCTTCGTTGTTCAAGGAATTGGAGACATTGTTGCACCCAAGACTTGAATGCTCCTCCATTGATGAATCCGGAACCAACTGTGATAATGATCAGAGGCTGGTTTTCGATCTAGTTAATGAAGCACTCGTTGAGATCAGTGAAAAAACAGCTATTTATTTCACCAAGCCCTTAAGCTGTCGCATTGGTTTAATGTTTAATGGAAACATTGTTCTCCGAGAGGTGTGGAGAAAAGTTAGTAGGAACCTGGCCTTCCAACTGAAACATGATCAATCGTTGGATGATATCGTGGATCGGGATATGGAGAAAGATGCTTGGATGATCTTTCAATCCCAAGCCGAATCTGTGGCTCTTGAGCTGGAAGATTTGGTTTTCGATGAGCTTTTAGATGGACTTTTTTGTTTGTAGATCTCTTACAATTGTCTTTTTCTGTTGTATATGAATCTATGTCATAATAATAAACAAGATTGCATAATGCCAAGACGGATTGATTTAGTTGCTTATTCGAAGTCTCATAATAGGAATCTCACATGATCGGCTCATGCTTATGGTCATAACCATTGCACTTGCCACTTAAAACTATCAAACCATAACACTCTAACCCCAGATTTCCGATGTCCGCAATTTACAAGTACAACTCAAAAGCATTACTTTCATACTCCATGGCAATAACCAGCTCCAGGTGCCATAAGTCCTAAATGATCAAGCCAAGGATGGCAACGTATATTGTCGATGATTATCAGAAACAATAAACGGCTTCAAAGAGATATAATTACGGGGCATCAAGTGTTTTACCTATTCCTAGCTAGAGAGCAACGCACTGAAACCAAAGAAGGGAACTGAAAGAATAGCGGATTGGCTTTTAGAGTGAATCGTTCAGGTTATTGGTTGTTCTCCTCTAAACTGGATATGAACAAAATGACTGTTTCTGAAAAAATGATGTTAGATTATGTATTGTGCCTTATCAATGTCCTATTCGTTGGCACTTAAGGATATTCAAGGGAAAGTCTCTTGACATGCTTGTGACCATTGACAAGGGATCCCGTAAGTCCATATTTGTTCTCCGAAAGCAAAAAAATAACAAAAAATCAGCAAAAGATACAAAAATACTTATAGCCATTTCTCGTTACCACTACCTTAGAGCCAGCAATTTTAGTATTTTTCTCTAACAAAATTTAATTTTAACATTATAAATTAAACAAATTAAAATAATCATTACCTTACAAATCTTTACAATATTCAATTTAGATTTACAACCAATGGTATAAAAAAGAATCTTATTATATATTTACTTGTTCATCCCAGTCAATCCCAAAGCCGAAACCATGATGCTTCAAGCTCCTCAAACTCGAGCACTCATTCTAAAAATGGTGAAGAACCCACCTCTCAAAGCTCTCTCATTCTTCAACTCTTCAATCCTCCAAGGCCTGCAACACTCCCATGAATCCGTAGCCTTCACTCTACACATTCTTCTTTCTTCCAACATGCTCTTACATTCTCAGTCCCTTCTTCTCCAGGTAATCACAGGTAGAATCTCCTCTCCTTTCTTCTCTTCTTTGTCTCTATTCCAATACTTAACTCAACCCACTCTTAGTTCCAATTCGATTAATCAAATCCTTCTGTATGAATCCATTATAAACGCCCATGTTCAATCCCAGTTACCCGATGAAGCCATTTATTATTTTAATCAAATGGTAGACAAAAACCCTGTCGTTAGACCCAATAGTCTTAATAACATACTGAGTTTCCTTATAAAATTTGATTCTTTCGAGAAAGCTTGGACGCTTTTTAAAGACTCCAAGGGGAAGGTTAAGTTGGATGTCTATAGTTTTGGGATATTAATCAAAGGGTGTTGCGAGGCAGGTGATCTAGGCAAAAGTTTGAGCTTTTAGATCAGATGGAAGAGTTGGGGTTTTCTCCAAATGTTGTTATATACACCACTTTGATCGATGGGTGCTGCAAAAATGGTGACTTGGAACGGGCAAAAATGTTGTTTACTAAAATGGAGGAGCTTGGTCCGGTTCCTAATGAGTATACATACACGGTTTTAATCAATGGGTTGTTTAAAAAGGGACTTGGGAAAGATGGGTTAGTGCTTTATGAGAAGATGCAGCGTAAAGGGGTGATTCCGAGTTTATACACATACAATTCTGTGATGAAAGAATACTGCAACGAGGGGAAAATAGGTAAAGCTTTCGAGATGTTCGATGAAATGCGTGAAAGAAGAGTAGCGTGTAACGTTGTTACGTACAATATATTGATCGGTGGGTTGTGTAGGGAGAAAAGGTTATGGGAGGCTGAGAAATTGGTGGGTCAAATGGAAAGGTCTGGTATAAGTCCAAATTTGATTACATATAATTCACTAATCGATGGTTTTTGTAACGGTGGGGAGTTGGAGAAGGCTATGTTTTTATTTGATCAAATGAAAACCAAGGGTCAATCTCCATCTTTGGTGACTTATAATATTCTTATTTCGGGATTCTCTAGAGCTAAAGACTCAACGAAGGTTGCTAATTTGGTGAAGGAAATGGAAGAGAGAGGTATAAGGCCTTCTAAAGTAACATATACGATCGTTCTCGATGCATTGATTAGATCGGAAAGCACAGAGAAAGCATTCGAGTTATATTCGTTCATGCAGGAGAAGGCCGGTTTGGTTCCTGATGTTTACATCTATGGTGTCTTGATACATGGGTTGTGTGTAAAGGGCAACATGAAGGATGCATGGAAACTATTCAAATCGATGGGTGAAATGCAGTTGAAGCCTAATGATGTTATACACAACATGATGATTCAGGGGTATTGCAAACAGGGTAGCGCCTATAGGGCCCTAAGGTTGGTTCAAGAAATGGGGGAGAAAGGGCTGGTTCCTAATGTGGCTAGCTACACATCTGTTATTGGAGTTCTCTGCAAGGATGGGAAATGGCAAGAGGCTGAGGCTTTAGTGAAGGAGATGATTGAGTCTGGATTTAAACCTTCAGTCTCCATGTATAATTTAATCTCTAAAACAAAACACAATACGTTGTTGAAGATATCTAGCTCAGATTAAATTTTTTTAGTAGTCTGGGAAAATTATAAGGTAATATATATTCAGGATAATAACATTTCTTTTTATTACCGAGACCACTCGATGGATTCAACTCATATTAAGTTAAACGCGACAAGGGGGGTTACATTTCATAACTGTCAGGATTGGAATAAAATTAAATTTTCAAATACAAAGTTTTGTATAAAAGAAATTAGTTTTTCAACTAAAATTTAATGATTATAGGACATCCTATAACAAAATTAAACTCTTTTTTATACTGAACGAAAAGGAGGAATATATGAATAATTTATATAATTGTATAATAAACAAAAGTAAATAAAGGTTTTAATCATATGGAATTATTTATTTTAGGGTTTTTAGTAGTAAATAAGCAACTAGTGCTCACTTTAGTTTCCTTTATTTTCATCATTTAACATTAAAACATATATTTTAATTATTTATATTAGGCTTAATGTAAAAATAGGTGTCCAAAGTATCTTCAAAGTTAACTTTAAGTGCTTAAGTAATTTTTGTTAAAAATATGTGCCTAACGTTTTTTCTGTTATACTTTTAGAATACTAACGCTTCTGATGTTATATTTTTCGGTATCTGAACTATAACAACAGCTAGGCAACAAAAATTTACTCTCCTTTCTCTTTTACAACCAGATAGTTCATGATATCCACTATAATAAATTCTATTTTAATCAAGTACATGTTTATTTTGATGTCCAATACTGGAAGAGATACAAAGTTGATGGAAGATTATCTTTAGAGAGTAGGGTTATTCAAAAAAATCCAGAACCGTTAACCGTAATCGTTAACAAATATAACTGTTACATTTAATATGTTAATTAATCGAACCGTTAAAAATGATGGTTAACGGTTAAGGTTGCGGTTACAAGTTTTGATAAACGGTTAACCGTTAAGAAATTAAATTTATAATTATATATTTCTAATTTATTAGATTTTTATATAGATAACTTAATATAGTTTTCTACTATTTATAATTTATATATATTTAATAAAATTTGTATATAAATAATTTAATATATATATATATATATATAAATTTGACAAATAATTGTAATAAGTTAACCGTAGATTAACATGTAATCGAATCGTTAATAATAATTAACCGTTAACGATTAACCATTTCTTAATAATTAAGTTACAATTAAAAAAATCTCATAATCGTTCATGAACAACCTTATTAGAGGTGTTTAGATACTTTGATTGACCCGACCTACTTTTTGAAAGTAGTACGCTTTCAACCTAATTATCTTTCTTGATGTTCTCGAATTCACGAATGCTAAAAGTGTCGGCATCTAACTGAAAACCAAGAGTAGGAGAAAACTCAAAAAAATCCCTAGGGATTTCAATAACTAGCTCCCTCTATTTACTATAAATCATCATTATATGATAAAAATACTATCACACAAAGCAATAATTAAATCATTCATCATTGATGACTAACTCAAAAACATGTTTTATTTTAGTCAATCACACAATATTATTGAGATGATATACTTTTACTTTTTAATTAACCCATACAAATGTATTTATATCATTTATAGTTACAAACTCAATATACCAACCACCAGCCTACTAACTCGAGACATATTGATTCTTGGTATGTTAAAGCATGCAAGTAACACATATATAATTCTACATTTCATTGGGATTAAAGTTTAATTCATCTTAAGTTTAGTCTAATGCATAGTTAGTCCCAACTGACACGTTTATGACTCTATTTAAGAGTAATCCTGCTCTGGTAGAAATAAAACTCTCATCTTTAGACTTTTAGACAACATAATTATCATAACATAAAATACTTTCTCTAGATAATTCTTTAGGCTACAAACTTATTTAGGCCATCAACTAATATAAGTTATCTTATGCATTACAAACAATCTTATAATTTAACTTATAATTAGTTAAATGGTTAGGTAATCAATCTTGCTTTCACTTATTGTTTTACATGTAATTTCAAGTTCGAATACACAATGTGCACAATATATAAATGCATAAATTTTATTTAAATGAATCTGTTCGGATGGATTGTAGTAATTATTCAAAAATACTACACTGGGGCATAAAATTCTAACAAAAATAGTACCAAAATGTTATCTCTCCCTTCCTTTGTCAACTTATCTACTTAGAGGACTAAATTCAAGCTAAAGCTTTAAACTTTCTTTTTCGGATCTACTTCTGTTTATTTAAGGAAAGAACAACAATAATGCAACCAAATCTAATTTTTAACACAAGATTTGGAATCGAACCAGAAGCATCCTTTCTTAGTTTCGTCACAACCGAGTCATTTGGCTCTGGAAACTTTTTACCTGTTGGGGAAAACGGGTTATTTCCCACACGAACGTAGTTTTAAAATTGACCTAAAATGTCAAGATTAAAACCACCAAAGGTTGCACAGCGGATAAACCTGTCAAACTATTGAATATTGAAACACAATGGAAAAGAACCGAATAAAAAACAATAAAGGAGAGAACACACCAAATTTACAAGGTTTGACAAGAATATCGTCTACTCCTCGGGCACCACACCGGATGATAACTTCACTATATCGCCAATATTACAACAAATGGAATTCTTTAGAATTCCCAAAGTGGGAGAATGAAGAATACAAGAGGAAGAGAGAACTTGTTTTTGTGATGATTTCTAATGGAAATACTTAGGCCTATTTATAGTTGAGTTTCAAGAACAATATGTTCAAAGTTTGGCCACCTACCAAAGAATTTTCCAATGTGTACAAGTTAGCCACCAAATATAAAATTCACATGTTCAAAGTTTGGCCACCAACCAAGATGAAATTTCCAATAAGTTGGCCACCAACCAAGATGAAATTTCCAACTTGTCAACTTAATTTCTAGACAAATCTAACAAATCTCCACCTTGGCTTGAAATTACCAAGCCTACTCAACTTCTTCAACTCCCAAATTTATAGTGCCTCTAATTGCGCTCACAAGCGCCACACACCCAAGGTGTTCATACTTTCAGGATGTTAATCAAGTTCAAACAATGATTGAACTTGATTACTGTTACCACCTTGGTCATCATATCTGCAGGATTTTCTGATGTTGCAATTTTCTGAAGTAGAATCTTTCCTTCTTCAAAGATCTCCCGCACAAAGTGATACCTCACGTCGATATGCTTAGTCCTTGAATGGTAGACTTGATTTTTCGCTAAGTGAATAGCGCTCTGACTGTCACAATAGAGACTAATGTGACTTTGAACAACTCCCAAGTCTTCCATCAACCCGTTAAGCCAAATTGCTTCCTTTACAGCCTCTGAAACTGCCATGTGTTCTGCCTCTGTAGTAGACAAGGCCACCGTAGATTGCAATGTAGACTTCCAACTTACTGGGGCTTTAGTAAGAGTAAACAAATACCCAGTAGTTGATCGACGGTTATCCAAATCACCAGTATAATCGGAATCAACATATCCAACCATACACTGACCAAGTGCTTCATCCTGTTCAAAAACTAAACCAACATCCACGGTTTGTTGGAGATACCGTAGAATCATTTCACAGTTTGCCAATGTCCTTCTCCAGTATCATGCATGTACTGCTCACAACTCCAACTGCTTGTGAAATGTCAGACGCGTACACACCATTGCATACATCAAGCTCCCAACTGCATTAGCATATGGAACTTTTGTCATATACACTCGTTCTTCGTTAGTTTTAGGAGATAATTGAGAACTAAGTTTCAAATGAGAAGCCAATGGGATACTTACATGTTTGGTATTTTCATTCATGCCAAAACATTGTAATACCTTTCTCAGATACTGGTTTTGTGTTAAACAAAGCTTCCCTCTCTGTCTATCTCTGCTTATCTCCATACCAAGAATCTTCTTGGCCCACCTAGATCTTTCATCTCAAACTCTTGATTCAACTGAGCCTTTAATTTGTCTATCTCCTTTTGACTCTTCGAAGCGATCAACATATCGTCAACGTACAAGAGAAGATAAATGAAAGATCCATCTTTGAGCTTTTGCATATACACACAATGATCATATTTGCTTCTAGTATACTTTTGCCTCCTCATAAAGCTATCAAATCGCTTGTACCACTACCTCGGAGATTGCTTCAATCCATATAGCGATTTGTTCAGCTTACAAACCCATTTCTCACAACCACCATCTTTGTATCCTTCTGGCTGTGTCATATAGATCTCCTCTTCTAAATCACCGTGCAAGAAAGTCGTCTTTACATCAAGTTGAGCTAGCTCCAAATTTAATGTGCTACCAAGGCCAACAATATTCTAATGGAGGAATGCTTCACAACAGGGGAAAATACTTCATTGTAGTCGATTCCCTCCTTTTGAATGTAGCCTTTAGCTACCAACCGTGCCTTGTAGCGAACATCTTTCTTGTTATGAGATCCATCTTTCTTTACAAATACCCACTTACATCCAATGGCTCTTTTACCTTTCGGTAATTGTGCCAGTTTCCAAGTGTCGTTCTTTTGGAGAGATTGCATTTCTTCATCCATGGCACTTTTCCACTTATCACTTTCCAAGCTTTGTATTGCTTCTTGGTAAGTGATAGGGATATCATCATCAACAACTGGAAGAGCATAGGCCACCATATCAATAAATCGAGAAGGTCTACGAATTTCTCTCCTTGGCCTTATAACTGCAAGTGTTTCTGGTGTCTCCAATGGTTCTTGGGTTTGAACCTCTTCATCTTCTGATTCTTCTATTGGAGTTGAAGAATCAGATGCATCAACTTCTGGGATCATCATCTGCTGAAACTCCACCTGTTTTGGAGTATGCTCCACCTGCTGCGGAGTACTACTTTCTGGAAGCTTCACTTGTTACTTCTTTACTAGGGCAATTCATCAAAGGTAACATCTCTGCTACAAATTATCTTCTTGGTGTCTAAACACCAAAGGCGAAATCCCTTCACTCCATGGGTGATTCCCATAAAGAGAGCCTTCTTTGCTCTCGGATCAAGCTTGGATTCCTTCACATGATAATAAGCAGTGGATCCAAATACATG